ACTATTTGTCCCAGCTTCTGCCAACCTAGCAGTTCTAAAGCACGTAAAAAATGCAAGTAGAAAAATAGGGACCACCTTTGGTGGGAAGGCAACAGCGTTCCGTGCACCTTTGGCATTTAGTCATGCTGGCCACATGATCACGGGGACGTCTTTGGACAGCACTGGCTCTTCAGCTTTGAAACGGAGATGAGCACCGCCCCTTAGAGTCGGGAACGACTAACACATATGTGCGAGGGGAACCTTTACCTTTACCTTTTAAAAATAAAAAGTTGAGGTTAGATGTTAATGCCTTATTCTACTGCATCAAAGGAGTTGGAAGTCAATGCTTTTTTTTCTTTTTCCCCTTGCTTTCCCCCACTATTCATTTCTCTTTTCCCTTTCTGAACTTCCCTATTATTCACTGTTGTATTCTTTTTGTATGCTATATTATAAACTAATAAAAATTGCATAATAAATGCACTGTTGTAAGTCAAGGACTACCTGTACATAGATTGGATTATTCATATTAGTTGCATGTAATAATTTGTTTTGATTAAATTAAAAAAAATATTGATTTTACTAACTTTTTGGAGTTTAGCCTGTCGCAGACAAAGATGATCCTTGGCCTAAAAAGATGGTGCATACTTATAGTGCTCCATTTGTCAAAAATGTGGAACGTTGAAAAACTTGTATTTCCTTGGATTAGGGTGGAATGAGAAGAATGGGTTCTGCAGGGAAAACAGACACATCAGAGAACCATTTTCTGAAGATAACCAAAGTACATAGCCCAAAGAACATTGTGCTCTACGCATGGAGTAGCTTATTGCCCTGAACTACAAATGAAAGGTTTCTAATGAGGATGATTCTAAAAAGCAAAGAAATATTCAGAGATTTAGCTGCCCAAAGCCCACAGATACACAGAAAGTTGCAACAACTGACTGCTAACAAATCCCATGTTATGGGGATCACCATGTTATGATGTCTTTTTTTCTGAATCTAAAAAAACATTGACAACCCAGACTGTTTTGTAATATGCCAAGGGGTAGCATGTTTCTTTCTGTTCTTACAAAAACATTTTTTTCTTTTTTTAGTGCACTGACTACACCAAATACATGTATCAATTGTTTTGACCCTCTTGAAAGGGGATTGATGGTTACATGTTAACAAAGAAAGTAGCTGTCAGTAATCGGCAGACATGGTATAAACATCTCTTACTAGAAAATATTGGGTGACATATCTTTGACTGCATGTGCATGTGCATTATTTCTGGACTCTGAAGGAGCTGATCTGGACACGTGGTCTAATTGATTTGACTTTAAATTTGCAAACTTATCAGATGTTCCAAGAAAAATGAGATTTAAACTATTTCAGTTTTTATACAACTTCTTGGTTAGTGTTTTAGCTCTTGGATGGATCTGAGGATATGGGCATATGATACCCTCAATCCTATTAAGTGGGTTCCCATAACAAATTACATTAAATCTCTCCTTCCAACCCTGGAGTTAGGCTGGCAGATCAATATGTACCTCCCATCCTTCCCACCCTTATCTAGGGCAGCAGAACCAGTGGTGGGTTGCCCCCGGTTTGGACCAGTTCGCAAGAACCAGTAGTAAAACTGGTGGGAGGCTCCGCCCACTGACCTCGACGTCATCTGAAGTGATCTGTGTGTGCGCAGCAGAGTGTGTGCACATGCGAGCGAAGCAAGCACACACATGTGGGCACGATGCGAACTGGTAGTAAAGGTAAGTAGAACCCACCCCTGAGCAGAACTGATTAGTTCATAGTGGGAGAGAGCCAACCCTATCAACTCAACAGGCAGGAGAAACTGGCCAAATCAAGGTAGATAGTGCACCTGCTGGATAACATCTATTGTGAAATTGTTGTATTTTCCTATTAATCTAACTGTAGTACAAGCCCTTTCTGTTCTGTTTCTTTTGCAACTGTTGCTCCCTTTTAAGGGACTGTGATTAGTAGTACTGAAACATGGGACTTATTCTAAAATAAGGATTGCGATTGAGACTTATCACAATGGTACACTATCAAGTATTTTTAACATCACTATTATTTTTAACACCTGCACACCAAAGGCTTCACTTGCAATTTGTTTTGTCTAAGGAGACAGAACTCAGGACTAGGTTCCCCAGAGATGAGCTAAAACTGTCACCATCCAATTAATCTTATAGGAAACAAGCACAAAACAAGGAACAAAAATATATGGAGAACCAGTAACTTAAAATCTTAATTGTCCAAAGGCTACACATTACATCATAAAATATATTAATATATAGCATATAATAAATGAATTAGTTACATGTAAAATAGATAATTTTGTCTAGCCTACTGGAGATGTTCCAGAGACAATAGGACTTTGTTGCCATATTCTTATAATAATACAAACTTGAGTTGCTTAATGTGCAAATAAATTATTTGTAGGATAATGATGAGAAAAAGTCTGAGCAAAAAAAATAAACTTTCTAAAAGAAGATAATCTTTAGTTAGTCTCATTACAGTCAGCCTAAAATAAGCATTAGTTATTTTTCCAACTTTCTTCAAAGAAAGCTGGAACATTTGGACAATATAAAATCTACCATATGTTGCTGAAAGTTCTAACCAGAAGAGCCATGGGTGACAAATGCTAAGAGGACATCACTTCCCTACCTCTGAAATAGACTCTAGACTCAGCTACCTAGGGAATTCTGGGTCTTGAGTCCACACATTTACAAGTTGCCATGGTTCTTGATTGAGAAAAATGGTGCCAAAGGTAAACAAAATTTCCAAGCTTTTTTCACCCAGTACCACAAACCTGCAGTAGTTCCATAAACAAGCAGATATAATCTCTTCCCAGTTGCCCCTCCCCAGAATCTAAGATACTGAATAATACAATGAATCAAAACAACAACTTATGACAGAACTGGCTTTATTTAGCCAGACATTCCACAAGTTTATTTTGAAGACAAATACGTTTTATAACCTAACTGCCATCCACTCCCAAAATTATTCCTGTCTCTGATAGATTCAGACTATTATGAAGAATTAACACTTTATTGAACACTGAATGCACAATATAGGATATGTTATTGATTTTTACAAAGGCATATCAACAAAGTTTGGCAAGTATTGGCAGCATCTTTTCTTTTGTATTAACAGTATTCTTCTGTATTTCCTTTTCTCATTCAAATCTTTCTCCTCGCTTTTAATTTATACTTCAACATCTTCTTTTTCTGTTCTCTTCCCTCATTAGGTAGTGTCCTTTATGTATGTAGAATTGTAGACAAACATGTTTTCTATTCTTTTGTCATATTGCTTATTCATCAGAAATCTAAAATGGGACTGAGAAAGACTGCTAGGAATAAGAACAGTAGGAAAAATAATTTAAAACAGCAATGGCCTCATTGCTGAGGGAGCCATTTTTGTCCTCTCCTATCCCAGGGTTATAATTTTTGTTTTTATGCTATTTATTACTGTGACTTTTTATATTTTTATCAGTTTTATTTTGGCTTTTATTTATTCTATGTTGCCCAGAATTTCTTTTGGGGAATGTGATGATTATATATAATTAATATATAACTAATTATTAATAAATAGCAAAAAAAAAAAAAAAAAAAGCCTGTGCATATAACCCAAAACAATGATTGGTCATATACACATGCAAATACTAAGCCATTATTTTTAGCCTGTGGTTTGAATGGCTGGCTTTGTCATAGGAATGTATGGCTTGCCTTCTGAGAAACTATATAAATACCTGATTTATTGGTGGTTTATAAATTTCACTTGCCATAACAAGTTGTCCTGGCTCATTCTTTCTGTTTTGGTGCCCTGTCTGAACTCTTCACCAGGCTACAACTGAGTGGGAGAGAATTGGCTAGAAAATGAAACTACACTCCTGGCTAAGATTTATCCACTGGCACTTTTCCAAAAATAGTTCTCCATTCTAATTTGGCTTGGCAAAAGGTTCTTTCTTTCTGCCTGGATTTCCTTCTCCCAAGCTGCCTCTCAAGACATCCTGTGGAGCTTCTTGCCTGCTATTTTTCCAGAAAAAGAAATTTTAAAGGGACTGTTGCTTCTTTGATCACATCTAAGTATCCTGCTGAAAGTAATCTTAAAAATTTGTAAATAATTTTAATATACCACTACAGCCGGAAATATGATCAATTGTGATATGTTTTATTTTGTTCTGATGCTAGGAATTTTTGTGTTAGTATTTCATCCGTTTCCTTGCAGTATTCCAGAAGTGCTGATCATAAGTGTTAGGCTGCTGGGAAAAAACAAACTAGGGTAAATTGGATCACAAGTCCATCTATTTCAGTCAAGCAACGGGATTCCAGATCTCCAGGTGGAATTTTTCTCACACTCCCTAGGCATGGCAGATGTTGAACCCAGAACCTTTGCATGTATTTGCCTACAGCTCAGCAAGTTCCAAGACACACAGCATGACTGTTACTTGGGTATATTTTTATTTGCCTTTTAATTAAACTTGTGGTGTCCATAATGGCATACATGTTAGGGAAACTCGGTCACAATTTTGCATTTCTTCACAGAATGCCACAGGAAACTATACAAGGCATGGCATGTATGCATCCATATAAAACTCTAGAACAGGGTTTCTCAACCGTGGCAACTTTAAGATGCAAGGACATAAAATCCTAGAATTCCCCAGCCAGCCATGTAGGAAGTCAATGGGCCTTTTAAAATCAAAGTTTTAATAATTGTCCAATAAACTCTAGAAAACATTCTGTCAGCGCTTCAACGCTGGCATAGAGAGCAGAGGAGAGAGAGATAAGCTCTGAACTTTTGCCTGCTAAATCCCTTTGAAGTCGGGTTGTCGTGGAAATGAGGAGGGGGGGGACATTCCTGGGAAATGACAAGACAAGAAGTCTGAAGAATGACTTGGAAGATAGCCAATGAGAAGCAGAGATTTGGGGATCGGAAAGGGAGGGATTGGAGGGCAAAAGGTCAGTCTTGTCCGCATCGAGTCATGATCCGGTGGCTGTGCTCAATTAAAGAAAAGATTTCCTTAAAGATTGGCAGTTTGGAAATTCATTTATTTTGAGATAGCATCGAAGTCTGACACATTCTATATTTCAGAAGGCACAGAACCAGATACAATTAACCTATTTAGGTGGTGCCACCAGAAATAAAATTCAGAATGACATTAATGAAGTTTAACTCAAATAAATAATTTTTCTATATTTAGGAGACATCAAATACACATGTATAGGGGGGAGAATATATGTATATGTGTTTGTGTCTTTCTAATGCACATTTTAACATCTTGGGTTTTTTTTTGTTTGTGCAATTATTTTTTAGTTTTGTATTTTATTTTTTTGAATAAAATAAAAAATAATATTAAAGAAAAATCTCTGCCTGTGTATAGTTAATCAGAAGCTGGACAGCCCCATATAACTGGATTTTTGCATTGAAGAGAACATTGGACTAAACAGCGTTTTTCAGTTCAATGTTTATATGCTTCTATCCGGCAAGCATCCCTTAAAAGTGGTGGTTAAAATAATCTTGCATGCAAAACTTTTGTAGATATGTTGAAGGATGCTACCCATTCTACAATCCACAGGTCTAGTAAGGTAAACAAAATAGAAGTGACTACGGAATGGAATGGAGAAGCAATGCCAAAGTCATTTTTTCTTGTCTAATGGAGAGAAAAAAATCTGTGGAATAATAATTACCTAAAGAAAGCATAGCATTTATTTAGAAAAGCAAAATTGTTAGAAACCTTCTTCAAGCTAGATTATTTAAAAACAATGTTTAAGGGAGGAAGGGAAGAGATAGGGAAACTATCTACTGAAGAGGAATGCTTGCTCATTATTTGTCCACATTTATTTGGCTGTAATGAGAAATAATCCTCCTCTAGCACTTTAACTCTTAAAAATATTTAACTATTATGGTTACTTTTAATGGTTAAGAAAAAAAGAGGGTGTTTCAGTTTTTCTATTAGCATGGATTGTTGTGATTCTTGTGATCAATATCAATGAAAACATTTTATTCAAACATGTTGTATTGATTTAGCAAAATCTACTAATTTTCTCCAAATATTAGCCCCATCAGTTTTCTATCAGCATCTTTTTCTCTGCTATTCCTCTAGCCCAAATATATTCTCTTCAGGGAAAGGTTTTCCTCCTGTGGAAGCTTATTTAAATTTAAGGGGAAAAACCAGTATCATCATGTACCATACAATATGTAGAGAAACCTAGACCCTTTGTTCATGCTGGTTGAAAAGGACATTTGGGAAAGATGTTGTAGGAGAAGAAAAATGATTATTGCCAAGTTTTTGTTAGAAGTTTTAATATATCTTGGGACATTGTAAAGATTACCTGTAGGATTAATATTCATCAGGTGAATGTGTATTTGCCACCATAGTGATCAACCAGATGTAAACAATAAGTATGTCCATGATCACATGAAATGGATCTTAATTAAGGTAGGCAAGGGATTGAAAACTTTTAATACTTTCTAATTATGCACACATACCATTTTATTACTTTATCACAGCTAAATTCAACAATTCTTCAACTCTGAAGCCATTTTATTACTTTACCACAGCTACATTCAACAATCCTTCAATTCTGAAGCCATATCTCAAGGCAAATATAATATTATTAACAGTAACCAATCTGTTTCCTTCTTTCTCAAGCCAGCTTTTTACATGGTGATTATACTGATCTCTTCAATACTCCATTGCCTTGTAATCCAGGATCTCGACTCCATGGAGTTTGCTCTGCCACAGCCTAGAATCCAAAGCTATGTTTTCCTTCTGCTGGCTCTTTTTGCAGATCTTTCAGATGCATCAGGCTCCTTCCTGGGTCTTCTCCATGGCCATGGATCATCTGGCACATCTGCTCCACATTCCCTCCTTCTATCTGCTACAGCACAGGTGTCAAACTTGCAGCCTGGATGCATCACGTGCTGGCCATGCCAACCCCGGTTTAGCGAAGGGGAAAAAAAGTTGTGATACATCACGTGACGACGTGAGTTTGACACCCCGTGCTACAGCTTCTTTAAAACCTTTAGTATGTGTTAGCTTCTGAGGAGTTTTACACACACATGTACCTTTCTCTGCAAGCCCCTAGGACAACTGACAATCAGACCAGCACTGAGAAAAAAACTTTACCTTGGAAAATCACATATAACATTGTTTTTTCTTCTTTCTTCCACAATTCTGCAGCTTATCTTCCATGTAAAAAGGCCCATAATAAAAGTATAGAAAGGCAGGTGATTGGCTGCAGTGAGTTCTTGGCACAATGACAAAGAACATTGAATAGGCTGGCTTCAGTTCCCATGAGGAACACGTATTACAGCAAAATTTCTTTACATTGGAATAGTAGTGTGTGAGGAGGAAACTATCCCAGGCTTAGAAATTGAAACCAAAGTTATGTGCCAGTTTCAACTCTGGAAAAGCGTCTATTTCTCCTCCCAGCACGTTTGTTTTAAAGCAATATCCTTGGATTCTATATTTCTGATCACATCATAATTGAAAAAAGAAACATTTTGGAAGTTGTTTCTGTGAATTTGAGCCCCTGTGTCCATGGAAAATAATCAAGTATGTCAAGATTTGATGAGTCCTTCAGGATATTGGGCTAGAGTTCATTAGAGTTCAGAAAGAGAATAAAATATTTTGATAAAATTTGCTAACAAGGCTGAAATGTAATGATTAGTTTGTTATTCAAATCTAAAAATGTACAAAAAGCTTAATGTTATGGCTTTAACACACCTACCATGTAAAATTGCAACAATATTTTTCTTTCGATTCAACACAATGCACAAATATTGCTAACAAGTAAAAAAAATACTGTATCATGATTCTGTATGAAGTTTGAGATGAAAATGAGAATTATAATTTTGAAAACTGGTAATAAAATACATTTAAAACCTCAAGTACACTTTCCCTAACAAAGTGTCTTTTTTTAATTTTCATGATAGTATTTTAAGATGGTCTCCTAGGTGATGTCTTTTGCCAAAAAAAATCATAGTTTTACTAAGTACCTAATCCTTTACTCAATAAAAATGCTTTTTGGTTTGGCTTACGACCTAAAAAGTTTTGGAGCATGTCCATCCCATCTAATGAGCCTCCAGGTTTCAAGATAAGATTTTTGTATTTCATTCCAGCCTAAAACAATAAAAATAAAACGAGTAGGTTAATGTTTCATGTTTATATAAACTTTCTAAATTCACAAAAAAGTAAAGATAAAGGAAATCTGCCTACATGGCAACAGTTTGTAGCTCTCCCATGATTATATTTGTGTTGCCACAAGCTCCCCCCCCCCATGACTTCATCATGACCAGCACGGACATGATGAAGTCACCGATGCTCATAAATTTCCATGTGACAAGAAAATCTTTTAAAAGCATTTTATACTGACAAAGAAGGTCAATGGACATTGGGCTCTCTGAGAGGAACACATGAAGGTTTTTATCACAGTCTCATTTTGTGGCCAAGTTTTATATATGGTAATCTGCTCTTAGCAGAGTTCTCACTGTGCAGAAATCTCTCCTGATCATTTATTACAAAAATTTACCTGGCACTCAGTCAATCCCTGCCTCTACTTCCCCAGGGTTCTCTATTACATAATTATGAGAATATGCTTTGTGTTTCTATAATCCTTTCAGAAGGTTGTTTTCCCTTGGCATGTTTTCATAACCATGGATTGTTCCAATAAAAAAATCCAAAACTATCTATGGCACCTAAAAAACTAACAGATTTAACAGTATAAAATTTCATAGACAAGTCCCTGTTTCACTAAGGCAGATTGTTATCGTCGATTGGCAATGTATATTTATACATCTTTGCCAGCTGAAAGTTTTAACCGCAACATGTTATATGGAAGAAGGAGGGATGCTATGATTACATGTACTGGGTCTTGTCTTTGTGGTTGGGCATGTGGTAGAATCTATCCCAGAAACCCACACATTAACATGATTACCTATGTTGAAGCATTAATAACTAAGATATGGGCTTTGTTATAGTCAACTATATTAATCTATGGATTCAGCAGCAGCCTTTACTTCCCAGTTATAGTCTTTCATGAAAGGGGGGGGGGGCATAACAGGGAAGCTAATAGGTTTGGGTTTTTTTTTCCTTAATAATACATTGCATTGCCAGTATCATTCCACTTTATATATACATATCTGAAATTTTTCTTCCAGTCATCCAAACCTTGGGAATTGCTTTCACATGGTATTTTGCTGTTATCAACCTTCCTCTGAAGACTAATCCATTTGAAATAATAGAAAGTACTGAATTGTAGCTCTGGTTTTAGATTTTGGCAGTGGTTTGCTCTCCAAGCTTGTTTAATTTTAGTTTCTGAACATTTTGTTACCAGACTGGGTAACATGATCAGCAGGATTTTTTTGTCCTATTCTTTTTTAACTTATATATGTCTTGTTTGCCACTGGAACAAAAATCATATATAAGCTAAAGTGGAATAGGACAAGAAAATCCTGCTGATGATGTTATCTAGTCTGATAATGAAATGTTCAGAAACTAAATTGAAACAAGCTTGAAGAGCAAACCACTGCCAAAAACTAACCCATTTTACATATAATTTTCATACCAGTCCTGAATATTCCTGGAGGCATCTACTGGTGATAAATATAAAGTTCCTTATAACTGGTAAAATTCAATTCATACTCAAGCTGCATGAAGACAGCTGGACATGAAGTAGTGAGATTATTATAAGCTCTTTTACTGGTTTTCCAATATATCATTGATACTAAGGCTGTTTGCAAATTAGTTGTATAGTTTTACTCATCACTATGACCTTGTTACTCCTCTTTTAGCTAAACCAAACAATAGATCTAATTCTTCATGACACCTTCTACTTTTCTGGTGGTACTAGAATTCACTTACTGCCTCATATATTAGTAGTATCTAGTCCTTCCTGCTCTTCAAGAAATCTTTCAAGATCTGTCTATTATTCCTCAATTATTTTCCTTCAGCATTTCCTCTTTCTCATCTGTTTAAACTTTTAAATCTTCAATTCTGTTTCAGTTATTTTCCATCTGGCCTTATACATATTGGGTTTCAAAAGAAACTAATAAAGCTAATAAAGATATTTTATTAGTATTACTTACAGGAACGATTGATGTTAATTTAACAATATACTTCATCCGGATTGAGAAGCTCACACAATTAAAACAATAAATAATAGTAAAGCATATTAAATTTTAAGCAAATCTTAAAATATCTCAATATAAGCTTTATGATTTGCCCTGGAACAAACATAGCAGCAAAATGCATGGCTTTAATAAAAATGCCAAGATTGTCTTTAGCTATTTTATATTAAACAAGCCAGATTCAATCTTGAAAGAGACAAAATACATTTTGTTAATTCCTTTCTACTATCATGTTGTCCTCCTATACTTAGAAACAGGGGAGGAAAAAGAATAACAAAGAATAAAACTAGTTTCCTTACCTTGGGATTCATTATCCCTTCACATTTAAAGCAACTGTAAAAAATATCCATAGAAAACACCTCACTCCACAGGTATCCATAATATTGGCCATCATACCCACTTGCCAAATGACCAAAGGTAGCTGGCATATTTGTACCTTAAAAGAAACAAATAATAATTCTGAACAGCTTGTGTAAAATAAACAAAACATCACAGAGAACAATCTGAAGATGTTTAATTATGTTACTGAAATGCTTATTATGTTTCAGACTGGTTAGAATCAATGTAGATATTGACAAGAATGCCATATACTTCAAGTACTAATTTACTGAAAGACAGCCACATTAATTTGGATCTGCTCGGACCAAACAGAAATATATCCTCTCTCTATGTTCTTCGGCTTAAAGCTCATTGAACTGAATCCAAGTATGCCTTAAACTTAAAATATTTTCATCTGAGATTTTCTCAGGGTAAACCAGTGGTGTCAAACTCATGGCCCATGGACCAGTTGCGTCACAGGCTGGCCACACCTACCCCTGTTTTAGCAAAGGAGAAAAAAAGTCATGATACGTCACATAATGACGCAAGTTTGACACCCCTGGTCTAAACTATTTTATAAGCATTGTGTTCTTTTAAAAAATAATGTCATTATATATTTATTCACAATCACATTTCTCTTGATAAAATACTGACAAGGGGTAAATAAAAAAAATTGAATTTCCATACCAGGGGTTGCAGATATACCCAAAATTTCTTCACAGAATTTGGCATATTCTTCCGCAGGATCAGCCGAAGACTGGGTATGAAGAGCCTGATCAACTTTGCTCAAAACAATCTGACGAAGAGTCAGAAGACCTAGTTAAATAAGAACATCGAAAGGAATATCAGCAGACTTTGTTTATATAACTGTAACTATGAAAACTGGTCTGGATTCAGTATCTAGTATGTCAAGTCAAGGTTAGCAGAGAATCTTCCCTGTAATCATCTAGAGGTGCTACCAGTTACCTTTGATCATTCTGAAGTAGGTTGAATAACTTTGTTTCAATGTAAGGAAGTTTTCTATGATTCCAAGTTAAATATTTTTCTTTGGGATTCAATATTGAATTCAGTACTCATTAAATTCTTTTACTATATGAGTAAAAATGCAAATCAAGCAGATAACAGCATGTAATTAATTAACCTTGATTGATCTTGAAAAAGCTAAACTAACCTGGATTGGATTGGTATTTGGATGGAAAACCAACAGGAAAACCAAGATAAGACATTCCTAAATGGTAAACTACTTCTATATTGTTACCAACATTTTTTTTAAAAAAATTTGATTTATATGCCGCCCTTCTCCGGAGACTCAGGGCGGCTTACAAAGCGTTAAGCAATAGCCTTCATACTTTTGTATATTTATACAAAGTCATCTTATTGCCCCACAAACTGGGTCCTCAATTTATCTACCTTAGAAAGGATGGAAGGCTGAGTCAACCTTGAGCCTGGTGAGATTCGAACTTACAGTAATTGCAGACAGTTGGTGTTAATCACAATGCTATCAGTCTGCTGAGCCACCAGGCCCGTACCAACATACCAACAACATGAAAATGTTGACTTCAGTTTGAGGGAGGCTTAATCTTTGGATGATTTAAGATACATTTCTTAGATTCCCTTCATAAGTAATCTCATTTAAATAATATTAAACAAACTATATACAGATTTGCTGGTATTTTCTCCAAGTGGGCTTCGATCTTTCTTCCCTTTTGTGAGGGGATACTTTTCTTACATTTTAGATTTTATGATAAATCTTTCAAAATATATTCTTCATTATTTTGCTTGACTCAGATCACAACAATTCTTTCTTGAAACTATCAAAATCAAATTAACTAAAAATTAAGAAAAATACCTGTGTTGGCTAGTCTAGAAGCTACTAGTTTCTCAAGGAGATCATCAGGGACCCGACTTCCATCTTTATAATGTCTGGACATTTGTTGTATTGGTTCTTTTTCCCAAACCCAGTTTTCAAACATTTGTGAAGGTACTTCTACAAAATCTGTTTCCACATTAGTTCCACTAAACCTAGCAAAATCAGTCTATGAAAGATGACAACAATATAAATTAAAAAAATATATGTGAACTAATATAAATGATAAAACTTTAAATTGTAGCATAGCTTGAAAAGTAAACATTCAATATTCTTTTTCAACATTTAGGCATGGTTCAGGCAATTCCTAGATAGGAATGCAGCAAATTTCCCAAAACAGCCTGTATATTTGCATCTTCATTCTATTGTTGCTACCTGTTCTACAGTGGGTTGGTATTGTCTAGGTCCTCTCTAACTAGCTCAATTAAAATCACATGGAATGAATGAATGAATGAACGAATGAATGAAATAGACAAGTAATTCTGTGATCAGTTGCAAAATCCAGTTGCATGGAGTCCACCAGCATACTATTTGTAGTCCCCAGAATGGGTGGGGACAATTATTTCAGCGATTTGGGTAAATGGTTAAATGGATATATGCAATACAATGGGTGATACCTACTTTGTTTAAAACATCAAGTTTAACCCTTTGAAACTGATGACAATCTACTTATGAAATATATCCGTGAACATGTTGTGTCCTTGACCTGATACTGTGGCTCACATGCATGAAATAAAATTGTTCAATCACTATGTACCTCCTGGGAACTGACAATTTTGTTCAACACAAATTGGCTATGTAAGTCAATTTACCAACCCTACCATAGGTCATACCAGACTTTCCAGATACCATTCAAGCTAGTTCAGTTTAACATTCTAATGTATGAATGAATCAGGATGAAGAGTGGACTTTACGAGTACAAATTGGGATTATTCTGAATGGGTCAACAAGCAAATGCACAAGCAGGTTTAATTCTCCAAGTTAACAAATTAAACTGTAATGTCTGCTTATGGCTTAGCACATCAGGAACCATCATCACTGAAGAACCAACTTTTAGAGCTTAGCTTGTAAGAACAGAACAAATAATGGATTTAGTAAACACTGTTAAATAAGGTGTAACTCACCACAATGTGTTAAGTCTTTCCAAAAATCACTGCCAAGTCTCATAGGGACTTTTATGAAATCAGATTTAAAGGAACTATTTTAATTATATTTCAGTTGAAGAAATTTGCCATACAATCCTTCACTGCTTGTTACCTTTAAGCACAGAAACCCCATAGCCATAGTAGAAGAATTTCAGAATAAGGCAGAATACTTACCTGAGCGCATATCTGGTGCATTACGTGCCCAAACTCATGGAAGTAAGTTTTCACTTCATTATGCTGCAGCAGTGATGGGCGATCTAAGGTTGGTTTTGTGAAATTAGTTACGAGAGCTGCTACTGACATCATTCTGCTGCCGTCAGAAAGAAGGCAGCCAGGCTGGAGACCAAAGCATGCAGCATGCCCGTATTTTCCTTCTCTGAGTAATAAAATAAAGTAGATCAAAAAGAGAAAAAACAAAGAAAGTGAAACATTTGGCACTTCTTAACTGATATCTATATGAATGACTCATCCTTTTCCTGGAAGAGTCAGGAACAATAAGGTAAAGGTAAACATGTGTGCTAATCGTCTGGACTCTAGGGGGCGATGCTCATCTCCGTTTCAAAGCCGAAGAACCAGCGTTGTCTGAAGACGTCTCCATGGTCATGCGGCTGGCATGACTAAACGCAAAGGTGTACGGAATGCTGTTACCTTCCCACCAAAGATGGTCCATATTTTTCTACTTGCATTTTTTACATGCTTTCGAACTGCTAGGTTGGCAGAAGCTGGGACAATTAATGGGAGCTCACCCCGTTACGCGGCACTAGGGATTCGAACCGCTGAACTGCCAACCTTTCAATCAACATGCTCAGTGTCTTAGCCACTGAGCCACCGCGTCCCCCCTCAGGAACAATACATTTGTCTAAAATTCCATAATGAGCTTGCTTTTGGGGTTCTATCATTATAATAGTCAGATTAATACATTGTATCATTTAAAAATCTTAAAGATAACAGCTTTATTTTTTAAAAAAATCAGTACAACTCTTAAGAGAGAGGAAAAAAAGGATGCTTTTGTAAGATGGTTCAACTGTACGCTATATTAAGTCATAGCAATTATACAAGAGTTATTCTATTGCTTGAAGCATTGGCTTTTCTTTCTACCTAATCTTCGTAAGATTAAAATAACATAAAAAATATCTAAGATATAAGATAAAATAATATCTAAGAAAAAACAATAAAAAAGAACTGCTGAGAGAGTTTTGAAAAAAGTTAAGCCTGCAGGTGATGAGAGTGTAACCAGAGAAATGTTATAGAATGGTTGTGTTTGAAGTCTGTAATCTGTGCTCCTTTATACAAAAGGAAAGGTAACAAAAGTGATGAAAAAACTATAGAGGGATTACCTTCAACCACCCTGGGAAAGTGTTTGGCAGAATTCTGACTGAAAAGGTATGAGACATGACAAGCAAAATTGGATAAGTGCAACCGTAAGATGAATGGAAGAGAAAGAAGATTCACTGCATGTTTGTTGATTTAGAGAAAAAATGATTACCATATTTTTCGGAGTATAAGATGCACTTTTTTACCCCCCAAAAGGGGGTGAAAATTTAGGTGCGTCTTATACACCAGGTGTAGCCCTGCCCACCCACTGGCCCCCACCCTTTGGCCTGTGCCTCGCAGCAGTTACCTTCTTGCAAGCAAACAGCAAGAAAAAACAGCCCCTTTCAGCTTCAGCATAGGTTAATTAGCACAAGTTGATTAGATCGGCCTCCCGACTTTCAGCTGATTTGCTTTCAGCTGTTTTGCGCAGGGCTCTGTTGCTAGCTGGATCTGATTTTTAAAGTGTTTTTACAGTGGTCATTAAGTGAATTATATGGTCCTAGGTCTGAATCACATGGCAAGTGAAACTACAGACATGTTAACATGGGACCCTGCAGCTCAGGGTAAGTGTGAGGCAGTTGCCAAATGCCTGAAATGCAGTAATGTGACCAGAGTCTGTGTGTGCTGTCTGGCAGTGTGATAGCTGGAATTGCTTTACACACTGTAAAGCACCCTTTCTGAGGCCATGATAATTTTGAATGGTTGTTAAATGATTGGTTCTAAGTCAAGGATTACCTGTTTTGAAACTTACATTACTTATCACAATCAACAGAAACAGTGTGATGTAATTCTTAGAGATGTACCATAACTAGGATGCTCAGAAAACTACTATTATTACCCAATAACATATTATTGGAGAAATGAGGAAAAACATAGTTGTGGAATATTGGCTGATAAAAACCTTGGTTCAAATCTTCACGGATTCTCACTGGATGACCTTGCACTAGTCCCTCTCTTTCAGTCTAATCCTATAGAGCCACTCTGGGAATACAATCATAAGACTTCAATCATGTCTACTGAAAGAGTTCCTTGGATAAAAAGAAAGATACAAATGCAATCTTTGAAAAAATGTGTTACCTTGGGTACAGGTCTAAATAGAACTGCCCCAGAATTTCTCCAGTTGAGCTGTCTTTCACTGTGTAAAGAGTAATGCTCTCATGCCAAACATGAGCATCTTCCACTCGTTCAAATTTAAGTCCCAATAGCTGCTGGTAAATTTTCAGCAAGCCTTCTGTGACTGCTTCAATAGGAAAATACTCCTTCAGCTTCTCTTGGTCTACAGAATATTTGAGCTCTTCTGTCTGATTCATGTAATAATGTAGATCCCATGCGTTAATCTTTCCATCATATTTGACACCTATTTCTTCACATTCCTTTTTCTTCAGATTTAAAATAAATGCTCTCTCTTCTTTACCCAAAAGTTTTAGCTTATTACTTAGATCGTCTGCAAAACAGAAATTTTAAAAAATTACTTTTGAGTGCTTGTTTCATTCCATTTCAGTTTACATTCAAGGCTAAGAAAAATACTTTTCTCTTTCTCGTGACCTAATTATTGGATGCTAAAACAAGGTAGAGTTTGAAAAATATTTTCCAGTTGTTTGTGCTGCTGTTTCCTGATTTGGTCTGTATATCATATAATCCCAGAACAAATGTATTAAATTACAGTTTAGCATTATGAGCACTGGGCCAATGAGTGATACTGATAGATAAAAGCAGTAAATGTTTTAACATTTGACTGATCCCTCCATAATTAAAAGCGAATATTAATGATATTGAAGAAGCAATTTCACTGAAAACAATAGTGAGAGTAGCTTTGTATAAAATAATTCACTCTGGTCCAAATATTATAGCAGATCAATTGGACCAAACCAGTTTGGAATTATATGATCTTGATACAATTTTATTATGTTCAAAATATCTATTTTAGAACTGGTGGAATGGAATTCCATACTCTAAATCATATAAAACTGGAAAGTTTTATAAGGTGTAAAATTCAGGAATATTAACTTCATGTTCTAGCAATTGCTCTAGTTAACAAACTAAAAATAATGAGTTCAATTTTGAATCACTCCTCTTAAGTTTCATTATTAATTACACAAAAATGTGAAATCACAGCTGCCAGTTCTTTAGCTGGTATTGCACACCATACACACCAAGTTGTTTCCTTAATAAAATATTATTATCAAAATTATTATCTCTAAATTAACACAAAATTACTATTTTTTAAAAAATTAAAAATACTTCAGATTCATTCTGTCCCTGGCAAAAAGCTCTATGTTATTTTCACTATAAATATTTTACTATGACTTAAATTTCTCTGATAATATTTTACATGTTAAATGAAAACTGACCTAAGAATGTTATAACATTGTCTGTTATTTTTGCAGTGTTCATTTCAAGAACAAAACTTGCATGTGTGCTATAACCCAGAAGTTCTGCTAGTTTTGCCCTCAAAGGAAGAAGCTGTCGAAGAATGTCAGCATTTTCCTAGGAAAATAAAGTTGTTTTGAATCATTAAATATAATATTAAAAACATAAACTCAAAATATATTACAAATGTAGTTGAAAACGGCAACTTCACATTTTGAATGCAACCAAACTTAATTCTCATATGAAATAACAAGTTTTTAAAAAGTTTAAAGTTTCCTCTTATTTTGTGATAAAGAATTTATAATGAATATTTGCACTGTTTAGGGAAGATTCTCAGAACATTGATAAGAGTGTCTGGATTGTATGCCAAAGGTTTCAGTTCCAATTCTGGCATCTTTAGAAAAAGACTTCAGCCTTATAACATTTAACAAAAAGGCTTAATAAAAAGCAAATAATTGCTTATGTGCATTAGTCTGGAAATGGTATAAGTGCATATACAAACAATACAGCATTTAGCACGTTTTCTAAACAGGAAATGAATCAAATAAATTCAGTATGAAGTGGGTAACAATTAGTCTGGCTTGTCATTTATATTAGGTTAATTATGTTACTCAGTCCTGGGAAATGTTACGATGTCCTGGATTTTTAAGAATTATGAACATACCACATTAAAAATGTAAAATGACAACTAATACCATGATTTTCTTATGAGGTAACTGCTTTAACAATGTATCTTTTCCAAGCAAACCTATCCATCTATTTTACTCACTCATTGTTCAGCCTGTAATTAATTCCTTGAATTTTATTCAGTTACATTAAATCTTCTGAGAAATTTACGGTAGTCCCAAAATATCCAGAACGAATCTGATTGGGAAGGCTAATATAAAATACCTTGACTGCTTATATGACAAATGTAATTAAATATATTAGCAGTGATGTTTATGAAATGCTGCTTCTGGAAATAAAATCACTGTTACCAACAGAACATATGCAAAAATGACAGACATACTGGTATCTTTCATGCCCAAGAATATTTACGACTATAGAATTTATCTATTTTTGAACACTTGTATTTTATGTCAAGGGGCTTTATATCATTGTGCTCCAAAGTCTCAATCTGTAATATTTCTGTCAATTTAGTATTTTCATATTTGTAATTAAATTAACAAAAGCTAATTGTTCATACATAGAATGGAAATAGCTGACATTCACTATTATGGCTCATTATGGAGGCTCCTCCAATCTCATTGTACACATGTTGTACATTGACAATAAAGGTTTGATTTGATTTGATTTGTGCTTTCACACTTTTATACTACTGTACACTGCTGTTTTATTTTTCATTGTATGTCTACATGACACAGTCTTAAAATAATCCGAAAGTTTGCCTTGGAGAGCTCTAGTTACAGAATTGCTGATATTTTCTATGTTGTATTTGTGACAGACTGGCACAGCAGAATTGAAAGCACACAAAACTTCCTTGCATTATCTTTTTTTCAAGCAAAGAAACATTTATCTTTAATTGTTTATAATGGGTGATTAGAATTTTTTGTAGAGGACAGGACATTGATTAATGTACTGGTATAGCTGACCCGGCAGAGAAACATGAAGGTTAGTGGTTTCAAATCCAAGGATCCTTTCTTTTTATTTCCTCCTTCCTTTTTTGCTATTTCTAGTATAACAATTTTAAGCACCATTAAGATACATCTTCAAAAGCTGGTAAGAAATCAGGAAAGGTAATTTAAATTTCATTCTCCTGAGATTGGAGTTTCTCCCCAACTTTGGAATGGCCAATCCAAGTAATTTCCTAAAGTTTTCTCAGAGACCACAAAATTACAACCTTATAATTCACCTTGTGGTTGAGATGGGCTGCCTGCAAATTAAATTATTAAATAAATATTAATTAAATAAAGTTTAATGCAAACAATTGTATTATCCTGATTTGTTTCTTCATGTTATAATTTCTAAGACTCCTCCTATTTGAACATGTAGTTATATATGGTGATGTATTTATCACACAAGTATATTATAGATTATTTTTTAGAATATTAATAAAAGACATAAATCTGGAATATTCAATTTAGAAAGCATATGCTTCTAAATTTAACATAGTCCTTCACATATATAGCTTTGTTAGTACAGTCCTTATATTTTATTTTGATCTGTTATGAATAGGAAAACTTTTTTCATACCTCTCTGCACCTGCTGTTAAAAGAAGTTTCCATTTTTCGCCTGGTATCTGGAACACTGCACTTCTTCATAACAGGAAAATAGTGGGGATATTTTAAGGTAACTTTATACTTGTCAGCTTCAATCTTCTCTAAACTACTGATAAAATCATCAGGCAGGTTACCTGAGAAACATATTTCACTATAGGATTAATATAAGGATATATTTTTTCAGGCATGTCTTTTAACAATAATCAAAAATCATTTTAAATGTTTAGCAGCCAATAGATTTCTACAGACAAAAGGCATTTAAGGAACTTTGAAATATAAGTTGACTGCCTGTATCTCCCAATGAGTAAGCAACGATTTTAACAGTTAACTGTCCATATTATAGTAATCATGCTTATTCTATTATTAACGAAAAGCAAAATTGTAGTTATCTATTTAAATGTGTTGTGATAACAATAGAAACTTAAACAGGTATTTATTTTCTAAAATAATTTAAAAAATATTTAAAATCAAGGTAGAACCTTTTCAAGAACACAGGAACAAGTAGCCAAGACTGGTAAAAGAAATTTATATAGAGTTATGGAAAAGTGGAAGGTTACCTTATAAAAAGGGAAAATCACATTGAACTGATTAAGGTTAATAAACATATGAAACAATTTTAATATAGCATGAAAACTTTCTGTATTGAAATACTAATTCTACTGTTTACCAATATGATGGTACTATTGAAATATAGATATAACTCATAAATAGCAAATAGAAATACTCACGAAGTTCATTTTGAGAAAATATCAGAAATGTGTTATCTTCATTGAGATTTTTGCTAAAATCTATACATAATTCACTCAGCTTCTGCTTGATTGTCTTGATTTCCTTAATGTCAATCCATATATAAAAAGCAAAATATTACATTAAAGGTATCACTGTTCATTACTGAAGTCGTTTCAGTTCGTTACTGAAACAAGTGCTTCTCAAGGTGGGCTGTCTCTAATGTTCTGCATGAACACGGAACAGTCTATGTCTATGAAGAAGCTGCCATGAGTCTCCTACAGTAGGGGTCTCCAACCTTGGCAACTTTACGACTTCTGGACTTCAACTCCCAGAATTCCTCAGCCAGCGCATGCCAAGTTGCCAAGGTTGGAGACTCCTGTCCTACAGAACACAAATGCCTTAACGTTTCAAAGAAAGATGCTTTCCTTATGCCAACATGCTTTGTGAACAACCTCCTTCCATAGTTTTGTTTTCAAGAACATGGCCCAGTTTTATTTATTCTTATATTCTCTTCCCATCTTTGGCACACAGTTTAAAGGGAACAAGAATACACATCTTTTATGACTTTAGGAAACTACTATCTTTTAAGTACTTTTCTGAACTATGGCCCCATAGCTGGGTAAGAAAGAAATATGATAAACGTCTTTACTAAAGTATTATATAAAATAAATTCCTAGTATTCATTTAGTACGTCATTTTGACATAAGTCAATATGGTGTGCCCTCAACTAAAAGAAACACATTTAATTTAAGTAGTTCTTAATTTATCCATACATTCATATATTTAAGATAACAGGTTACATACAGTCTCAAGCAAGGAACAAACTTCTGGTCATCCAACATATTTTACCATCTCGTAGGCAGAAATTGGAAAGGCTGGAAATTATGACTCTCAGCCTAGAGAAACAACTATTCAAACATGGGACAAATGCAAATGATGGAAAATGAGTCAAAAGGAAAAGGCTAGGATTTGTATCCTGAGGGCACACCTATAGGCTGGATACCTATTCTCTAGAATCTTATGGATATATATTTACTTTTCTTCTTGTCTTCAATAAAGCAATTTATCTATCAGCGTTGCCTCTTTGAAAATTACTGCTTCAGTATATGGGTGGAGCTGAGAAGTACTGGAGAGAAATCTCACACTTCTACAGATTCCTAGTATGCCTATAATCTGCTATGAAGCCCACCCAACCACCCAGTTTCATTACAGTTTTGAGAGGAGGTTTGCAAAAGAAGAGTTGTCATTAATGGATGCTGTTCCATGAGTGGATGAACAGACTTTAATACCACCCAATATCCATTGGAATTAAGTTTCCTTGAATATGTCTAAGTAGAAAGTTGTCAATAATGCAAGGGAACAATTAGCTAATTAAAAAAAGTGTCGTGTTTAACACTACAGAATTAGGATACTTCAAATCCCTAATCAGTCATAAATCTTGCTAAAGGAGACAGTTAATTAGTTTTAGCTTAATGAATATTGTATGACTATTCTTTAGATCTATACTGTTGAGTCTTAAGTTAATGTTTGTTGTTGGCTATACCGGACATATACTCAAAGGAAATTATGGCTATGCACTGTTCAAATAAACTAAGAAGATATGAAACAAATATGGAAATATAATAATCCCACCCAATAAGAAATGCAAAAATCCAGGGCTACCTGGCAAAACATTCTTACCATAACTTCTAGGTAAATCTTTTATGAGATACATACATTTTAGAAATATTAAATTCAGAAGAATATAAAACAGAAGAGTCTAACTAAGAGTTAGACCATAAAATTATATCATTTGAAATAGTCTTTTATCACTTTTATTCTACAGAATTTGCAATCTTAGAGTAAGTAGGAAACCAAGGGGACCTTTGTATACGATTTCAATGTGTTATTTGTAAGACTTATTAAAGTTAAAATTAATATACACATACTTTTGGACAAATATGATTTTTCCCTTTTAAAAAAATGTTGAATTATGCTACACTTACATTCTGGACTTCTGCAGGAAGGTGAAGCCCATTCCTTTCCCCCATTTTTATTGACTTCTCTAAGTATCTTTTAGCTTCTGGTTTTAAAATCTCAGGGTTACACATTTGCTGAAATGTAAAGAAATAATAACATTTAATATATTCAAAGTTCAATATTAAAACATAAGTTGTATTTCTATATAAAACATGAAATATTTTGTTTGATATCAGAAGAATAGTTTGACACTGTGAATTTTATAGTCAGTGATGCATGCCTGTTCAGCACCAAAAACAGTTCTGGCATAACAGATTCCTATTTTCCAAATTTCTCATATTTCCTAAATTGGATTAGGAGATCCCTTAAAAAAAAAAAAAAAAAAAAAGGTAATATAGCTGGGGTATAAAGCTAGTGTTAAACAGCTCCAGTTGTATTCTAACAGCCTCATAATATTGAAGACTAGATGTGTAGATCACAGCGAGAAGCCAAGTGTAAGACACAGTAGCTTGCCTTAAATCACCTAGTAATTTGTCCCAGAAGCAAGATTGGAAAAGAATATGTCTCTTATTTGAAATAGTGAACTAATGAATCCAGCTAGCCATTTCCTATTGGTATAAAAAACTTAATTGTTGCCCATCTGTCTCACAAATATGCATGGAATTGGTACCAGGTGAAAAAATTTAACTAGTACAAAACTCCTATTTATTAATTAATATTCTTTCAGAAATATGCTTAATACCAAAATAATTTGAACAAACATTAAAAGCAAGTAAGAAACCATTGCCTAATATCTAAGACAGCATATTATTAAGATCTGAAGCCATTTTTGAAAAAATCAGATTTGTCTCAATTAATTTGCCATTTATAGATATTACAAGGAACTACTGTCAGGTGAGGAGTAACGTCCAACCACTTTAACTCAGGATGCTGTAAGACTGACTAAGAACACATAAGATTTATGCTTTTAAAAATATCCCACCCTTAGTTTTCTTTAAACTAGTACCCACCATCATTCCACATTCATTTAAATTCAAAATTTTCCATTAAGACTTTTATTTTTACACGTCTCTCAATATAGGCCAGCTGCAACACATCAACTTAGCAGCATCTTTGGGAAGAGATTGTTCTCCTATTTTCATTTAGCTTTGGTGGACATGTCCTTTCTTCCACCTCCCTAGGAATTATATGTTCAATATCTGAATATATTAATTAATGTTTGTATTTTAATAATAGCAAATGGTAACAAACATTCATAGCCATTAAAGGCAAACTCAGCTCTAACAAATTCATTCATGTTTGTACCTTAGTACTGAAATATCATGAAAAATTAACATGATTGTGTTTATTTTGTGACACCCTTGTTGACTAAGACAATTTAGAGCAAGAAGAGGAATCATTTCTTCTATGGGCTAGTAAACAAACTATGGTTTAAATTTTTTTATTCAGCATAATGTATGAAGTCTTGGTTGGAGAACCAGAACATTATTTGCCTCAGCAGATAAATACTGCATTCTTCTCATTCTAACAATGGATCTGGGAATAAAATTGATTGATGGGAAGAAGAGTTAAAACTATTTCCAACCAGGAGTGTTGTTTTTCTGCAGCTTTGAAGGTAGGAGGGAGATTTCTTTTCAACTATCAATCCTGGAAAGCTTACTGAAGATGAAGACTAACAGGCCACCTTCAACAAATGTTTACAAATACACCCCCTTTTTGGAATTGCTTCTCTGTCCTGTTATGCTCTTCTTTATACAATGATGCTTTTTTGTGTATATTTGACATTCAAAATTCACCCCATTTGAGAAAATGTTTACATCTGATAGATATTCTATGACCATGTAAAAGCATCAAAGGTTGCAATTCTCAGTGAATGTGCTTTTTAGACATGCTATGGTGGAATAGTTCGGAATATGGAAGGACTGATTCAGAAGATGTGTGCTAAGCAAAGTTATACCCAGAGTTTATAAACTCTTGCCTGTTTCTTGGATTGTATTACTACATAACTCTATACTGGATAGAATATATCTCTATTTTAATTTTTGTGTGATGCATTAAGACTTAAAGTGATGAGCAGATGGATCCACTGTTATCATTCTAAAAATACAGAGAAATGTTGGTAGAAGGTGATATGTAAAAGGACTTTCTGTTCCTTAGAACGTCAAGGTTTTTTTAATGTTTTGAGACATGGGAGTTCAGAAATGGAATGCATTGTGGCAGAGAATCACATGAACTGCTTTCTTTGAGCAGAACCTTCATTCAACAAAGAGGCTGAATTCATTAGCTGCACAAGCCAAGCCGGATGCTTCTTTTCTGCTCATCAGCAAAAACGGAATCAAATTGCAGGGCAACACCTCTAGGCAACTGAGCGTCTTCTATTGAAAATCATCCGTTTTAGAGACAGGCTTCCCGATGGAGCATTGTTTATTCATATAAAAGGAAAAAACAATGCTCCAATGAACAGCAAAGGAATGGGCCACAAAGGTAATTCAGCTGTCATCAAGACTTGAAGAAGCCATTTAATCGGCTGTCCTTTTATGTACAAAAAAATCATATAACAGTTGTCAGACAAATAACCAATGATGAATAGATTCTATGGAAAGTGTTAAACATGGAATAAAGGTTTTATATTATTGAAGCTCATTAGATAGTTTTACAAGTTTAGTTTAAAGATAAATTGAAACAAAAAAGTGAGGTTCTTGTTGACTTATTAATTACAACTATCTCCTCAGTGTACAGATGCAGCTGAAATATAGTATCTGTCTACCTCCCCCTCTCCAAAATCCTAATTTCCTGTTAAATAAGGTTGAAACTGATATAAGGTAGTGACATTCACTATTCTTATTCCAGTGTCTATAGACTGTACTTTTGATGTATGACTTCACATATTCTTGTAAGTAATAAAACAAATGAAAATGGTTATTCCTTAGAAAATAAAATACATTATTGGATGTTAGTGATCTCTCAAGCAGGCTGTTTTCTTTAATTAGTATCATAGATATTTTCAATCTCGTAAGTCACTGATTATGGAGAAAAATAGTCAGGCATTTTGGGTCATGAGCAGTATAGTGAACATGGACAAGAGAAAGAAAAGCAGAGGGTTTTCTGAAGAGGAAAAGAAAAAGGTAATAACCAAGCATTGTAAGGATAAAGACTACAAAACCATTTCCAAAGAGGTTCGTATTCCTAAAGCACAGCTGCTAATATCAAAAACTTTAAAGTCCCCAGGACCGAAGCCAAGCCCCCTAGACATGGTCACAAGTGGAAAAATGACCCCAGACCGAACAGAAGGATAGTTTGAATGGTGTAGAAAAACCAGTTTAGAAAGAAAAGTTTAAAAGAAATTCTGTCTGACCTCCAAAGATCAAGATACAACAATATCAAGTTACACCATCCATCGTCTCACTAAAAGACGCCGCCATGAGAGAAGATCCAGGAAGACTCCTCTTCTAAAAGGCAGACACACAACAAGTCAGTCTGGAGTTTGCTAAAATGAATGTTGACAAGTCACATTTTCTAGGAGAATGCCCTCTGGAAAGATGAAAACAAATTACAGCTTTTTGCTAAGTCACAGCAGCTATAAGTTCACAGAAAAAAAAGTGATGCTATTAAAGAAAAGAACACCATTGTTTACTGAGAAACTGGATTCTTTGAATCTGCTAGGGTACAAAGAAATCAGGAGATCATTAAGACATTTTGGAGTGAAAAACAATGCCCATTCTTAGAAAATTCAGTCACAAGTCATGTGGATAATGACCCAAAACATATATGTAAGAGAACTCAAGAATGAGACTGTAATGTACACATTGTAAAGAATGGGACTGCCTCTGTAAATGGAACTGCATGGTTTGTATAAGGTTTCCTCATTTATTCTCAGTTTGATTTCCACTTACACATTTAAATCACAGAACAATAAGCAAAGAATCGGGCCTTAGGCTATTAAGCCACAAAGAAGAGGGAGTAAGCTATTCTCCAAAGCACCTGAGGGTAGAACAAGAAGCAATGGGTGGAAATTAATCAAAGAGAGAAGCATCTTAGAACTAAGGAGAAATTCCCTGACAGTTAGAACAATTAATCAGTGGAACAACTTACCTCCAGAAGTTGTGAATGCTCCAATACTGGAAGCTTTTAAGAAGAGGTTGGATAACCATTTGTCTGAAATGGTGTAGGGTTTCCTGCCTAAGCAGGGGGTTGGACTAGGAGACCTCCAAGATCCCTTCCAACTCTGTTATTCTATTCTATTCTATTCTATTCTATTCTATTCTATTCTATTCTACTTCTACTTCTACTTCTACTTCTACTTCTATGCGCTCATGTCCAATTAGGTATTGGCCACCAGTGCAGAGGTTTCAGTATAAACTATATACTTTATAAACTCCCTGCTTCACTTTCTGGGCATAGCCTAACAGGAATGAAAGAACCATATACTAGTGCCCAAATTACCCCTACAAAGTAGTCCAGAAGGACACCACAGATGTTAATATTGTAATCCAGAAGGATTAGCAGAGACACGCTTTCTTTATCCAGTTCCATCAACAATTCACCCATCAACTGAAGTTGTTTCAGAATCATAATCCGGTTGAAAAATTGGGACCAGATTGACTGATGAGGTCTTAAAGCACAATGCTACATGACCACATAACATAGTGATGACAATCTTGGCAGTCCCAGTTGCTGTCATAACCCCAGGACTGCATGGGTTATTAAGTGGGGAAAAGCTGGGGTCCCAGCCAAGGAGCATGGGGGGATGAGTGGCTGTGGGCAGGTGCCTACAATGCAAACAGGTCATCAGAGTGCTAGCAAGGACCATGGGCAGGGAAAGGAGTGCTGCAGATGGACGCACACTAAGAGTGCAGGTAGAGGGTACTAAGCTGGGATCTTGTACTCTGTAGTATGGCTCCTTGGCAGAAAACGCAACAAGATAAATTTTTGCCAAGACTTGTGACTTTCCCTGTCAGCTTTCCCATTGTTTTTTCTTGCGAGAAGCCAAAGGGAAGGTCACAAATGACACTAACGTGACTGTGGGACGCTGCAACTATCCGAACTGTGAGCCGATTGCCAAGTGGCTGAATTGTATTCATGTGACTGCAGGGTTGCTACAATGGTTGCAACTTCATTGACCAATCATTAAGTACCTCTGGTTCAGTACCAACATAACTTTGAATAGCACTTAGTCTTATATACCACTTCATAGTTGCAACATTCTCTAAATGGTTTACAGAATCACTTATTGCTGTCTGGTAATAATAAAAACTGTTGGTGGATTTATTATTTAATTTATTCATATGCACACATTCTTGAACTGCACAAGCTGGAAAGGATTCAAAATGATAGGACAAGTGATTGCTGAAGTTACATCCCAATGCCGGAATCTAAATCAAGGCAAATCTAATCAGTTATGTTCATAAAGAATGATACAAATTGTTGACAGCATGCCATCAATTGTTCTGGCGCTCTCTATTAAGCATGTTGCATATTATGGGAGACCAATGCCAGTCTGTCCTGTGCAACACAATGGAGATAGAGAAGTGTTCCTAACTCCCTCCTCAGCCATAGAATAATAATTTAAAAGGGCATTGACATGACTCCCACATTCTATATAATCTGATCCATCCATTTGGTTTACTCCATTCAACTCCCTAGAACAAGTAGGATTACTATAATGTGGCTTTATGAAGGTACTCTTTAGAAGCAAATGTATCCACGTTCCACAAGTTAACCAGGCATGAGCACTATCACAGTGTACGAAATATCTATTTCTACTAAACTATTCACATCCACCAGGCATTTAGGCTGGACATTTAACTATACAATCCTCCACCCCTGAAGACTGAAGACATTTATATGAACTGTCAGTCTAAAACTGACCACAGAATGATCTGGCATGATGACAAGCACATACAAGGCCTTCCATCTTACAATTTCTAGTTCTATGCAAACACAAAAGCAGTGACTCCAGCTATTTCAGATCTGCAATTCTTTAAATCCCAGACCTGGGTGATGCAATCTTAAGTAAATTGACTTTGTTGGAAGCAAACAGTGAAAGGTCTGATTGTGAAGAAAATACTTTTCTACAGGCAGCAAGCAGACTGACAGATGCATTTTCCCTTTCCCTCACTGTCTGCTTGGGCTTAGCAGTTTCTATTCACAAGGAAGGTTGCTGATGTGGCTGCATACTGGCTGGCCAGCACCATCAGGGGAAGAGGAACAAATTTTTGCATTAGCAGAAAAGCAAACTTTTCTATTATAGGTTTATACCAACCAAATACACTATATCTCTATGCATCAACAGAAAGGATCAGATTGGGAATCAAACTGAATCCGGGCAATAAGTTACCTGATTTTATTGTAAAAAGTAGAAAAGTAGCCGAGCTCAGCATGATATAATATTGGTTGTGGCTGCAGGTTGAAATGACATCTCTGCACTTTAAAAAGGCTGCATGGAAACAACCAAGACCAGCGTGGCTGCTACCAGCTCAAATGGTGCCTCCTTGGCCTTCCCAAAGTTGTACAGGGAAAAAAGGAACTATCCAGCTGGGAAAGCTATACAGAAGAGCCTGACTAGCCAAACCCCGCTTCTCCTGTATCCTGTCAGTATTTCCAGACAGCTGTTTGAGCAGACACAAACAGGTGTCCATAGCTGGCTAATCTATTACCTACATCTTGAATTCTTTTATGATGTGATTCTTCTGTAATAATAATAGTCAGACTGGCTGACTCATTCGCCACACGTGAGAATTGGAGTTAAAGGCAGAGTTAAGTGTGGGCAAATAGCCTACCTAAAATGTTGCTTGGGAGCTCAGATACTATGTAGCTGCCCTGCTCACTGCTCATCTTGGATCTTTAGAACAACCCTGCAGGCAGCCTGAAGGCAACTAGCTCTGAAACAAGAAACGCTGGGGCAACCATGACGATGCCAATTTCCAAAGTGGGCATAAGGATAGACAAATTGGCAAACTCCACCTGAAAGGGTCAAGGTATATTAAACCTTTGAGGTAATCCAGACAAGAAGCACAATGAATATTAGCTCTATTTCAAGATTACTTTAACAGAACCTTGCGAGTCTGAAAATACAGGTAGTCCTTGACTTGCAACAGTTCATTTAGTGACTGTTTAAAGTTACAACAGCACTGAAAAAAGTGACTGATGACCATTTTTCACACTTATGACTATTGCGGCATCCCCATGGTCATGAGATAAAAATTCAGGTGCTTGGCAACTGACTCATATATATGACAGTTGCAGTGTATCAGATTCATGCAATCACCTTGTGCAACCTTCTGACAAGCAAAGTCAATGGGAAAACCAGATTCAATTAACAACTGTGTTACTAACTTAACAATAGCAATGATTCACTTAACAACTGTGGCAAGAAATATCGTAAAATGGGGCAAAACTCACTTAACAAATGTCTCGCTTAGCAACAGAAATTTTGGGCTCAATTGTGATTCTAAGTCAAAGACTACCTGTATTCCTCCCCTTCTTTCTTTTTTATTTTCTGAAAAACTAGGGAGGGTCCCTTCTGAAATGCTTCCCATGTCCTCTCTGCTTCTATGTGCTGAGATGCCTTTTGCATGACAGTTGCAGCTCTTCCTTCTGTCTCCCAAAGTCATTCCCACATACCATTATAGGATGCTGTTAAATCAACTCAGCCTATCTTCAATAAACTGTACCCACAAGGAACAATGGGGTAAAGGGGGCTTGTATCAGATACATGCTCAAACACAATACAGTGCTAAAAAGGCTCAACTCAGTCTTTCTGTGGGTCTCCTATATTGGCTAAAAGAACTCACTCAAAATAATATTAAGAAATTCAATCTATTTTAGAAGGGTCCACAATTTTCCAGAAATTACACTGATAGCTTTGGAGGGTTTTTGAATGTGAATCTGCTTCTGATGAACACGTGGCTGTAGTGACTGAGTGTATCTTTCATCAATTCTGTTAACAATTTTACCCATTTTTGCAGTGGCCTTTTTAGGAATGCTAGCCCTAGCTAAGTCATTTATGACATACACCCACACACCCTTCCTTTATTTTGCTACCAAAAATGAACTAAACAAGCTAATGGAAAGCAGAGCCATTAACAATTAATTTTGATGGACACATCTTAGTTCCTGAATTATAGTCTGTGTGCTATAAATATCAAATTTAGGAGCACTGTTCCCCAACTCTCAGCATGTTTTATGAAACTTCAAGAATGTACTTATGCAGCCATTATAGTTTTATGTGTACTTTTCACCTAATACTGCAAGGCTCTTATGTTTTTCAACTTGGTAACTTCTTCAGGTATTTAATAATATTACTGTAGTGCCTCTTCTGTCATTTTCAAAGAGATAGCAATTGACAAAGATGATGAAAGCACTGACTATCCAAACTGCAATGCTTTTCATTATAAAGAGTTCTGCAAATAACCCGTAATCTTTATTTCTAATTTACCTGTAAATGGACAATCCTTTGGAACACATCCTTTCTCATGCTCATCTCAACATCAAAGTGTGAAAGCTTTTTATCAGCTTCGGTACTTGCCGCACGGACATCTTTATCAGGGGATACGTGTTGTGGGAAATCCAATATGCTCCTTTCCACTATCAGAAGAAGGAAACAAAAACTTTCAAAGAAAATACAGTAGACTGATTTACTTTGAATATTTGAAGGGAGAGATCTTCCCATTACAAATATATCATTTGAAGTTTTTAAACTATGGTTACTAAGACATCTACTAAATCAGGGCTGTCAAACAGTGTGTGTCACGCACTGGCCATGCCCATGCCCGGTTTAGCGAAGGGGAAAAAAGTTCCGATACGTGATGCCGTCATCACGTGAGTTTGATACCCTGTACTAGATAAACACCAGAAACTTTTGTAGGATATCGAGCTGCTACAAAGACAAATACATAGTTAATAAACAAATGAGTTATAAATGAGAACAAGAACAGCAGCAATAATAAAAACGCTTTATTTTATAAAAAATGCCTTTAGTAAAAAAAACCATACAAAGTAGTTAGCGTTTAAGATATCTAATTTAAATTCAGTAATACTAGAGTAGACAAATGATGGGAAACTAGTATCCTTCTGCCTAATGAACTACAACTTCCAGCTCTCAAACCCTGAAGAACCCGGAGCGTTTTTCCACACTGGCCCTGTTACCTAGATTTATGGTAAGTTTAGTGTTGAGCAGCTTCTAAAGCACAATAGTTTCCAATTTTTGGAAGACAAGTTTTCAAAATTTTAAATCATTTTTTTAACATTTTTGGTATATTTTTTTACTGAACACCGTATTAATTCAGAAGCATGAGAAAGGGAAAAATATTTACCTGCAGGGAGTTATTTCCAATTAGTTTATATGGTAGATAATTTTTGTAACACTAAAATATAAATATCCATTTTTATCTATCCCCTTCCCCCCATCATCCAGAAGTTCCGATCACAGCTCAATGAACTCCCCTTTTTTTAAAAAAACTTTAACTACCTTGTGAGGCAAGGTAGAATAAACAGACACAGAGTGACTTTAGATTTCTAGGCAAATTTTCAAGGCATTCTAAAAATGCCAAAAAACTTACAAAGAAATTATGGTTTGGTGCTATATGTGATCAGACCAATGTTTTGCCATAAGTACTTTTACTGTAAAATTACATTACACAATCTTTTCTTCTATCTCAGATTTTAATTTCCTTCTTATGAAGCCAATTGAGAGTGATACCAGTTATCAGTCTAACTATACCATACCTGAATATTCCACTTCTAAATCTGCTAGAGTCTGTACGGTGTTCTCATAAGTGATTTCTTCCATATCAAGTATGCCAACTTTGTCATAAACTTGCTTTGCTTTCTTGATAAGTTCTTCAGTTTTTGTTCTAATCTGCTCAGGTGAGAGATCCCATTTCAGGAAATTTTGGTCAGCTCCACTGTAAGAAGACACCTTGAGAAATGATGTAATCTCTGTTCCTAATGTCATTTTGAGTAAAATCCTTGAGTTTCTAGCTCTGCAATTTAAAATAAAAGAGTAAGACAAAAAATTAATACTCCAGCATACTCAATTACAAAACCCAAAGATGAAAACAGAGACAATAGATGTAACTGTCCATTAAGGGGAGATGAAAGATCATAGTGTTTTATGGATAAGTATTATTTGCTAAGAAATTATATTGAAGGAAAATATGTATTCGGACAATATATCCAAAAGAATGTTATAGATGAAACTAAAAGAAATCATTTTGGGAAACTATAGTAGTGGGGAAGAGAGTGAATAATTGAGTTCACACATGCTTTTATTAACTACTATTTATTGAATAAACTATAACAGACAGGTTCACACAACCTGCTAAGTCATGGGCATCCACAGAAGCTTCTTGCTCTTATCAAAATGATGAAAGCAATGTTGTGATGAAAACTGTACTATTTAATTGGTTTCCTGTGGGACCACACTTTCTCTGCAAACCCAGCTACTTTTCAGTAGAAAGGAAATCAAAATCCTAGCTTCTACAATCACTTTTTATTTTAATGAATTGTGAAATGGTCAACCTAGATAGCACAAAGCTTTGAAGTTACATTCATTTTTAATGCATGTAACAGAACATATCATCAAAAAGAATTTGTTCTTTTACAGCTTGACAGCAGGAAATTTCCTTTTGTGGCTGCTGTTTTCCTGAATGCCTTAACAACACTTATCCAGTAGCCGCATGTCACCTATGCAAATTATCAGGATCGCTAGGTGGCAGCCAAGTGTTACAATAACCTTTAGCTCTTTTCTGCCATCTAGTGAATGAAAAGGTCTACTTTACATTCTACAATCAAAAAGATCTACAGATTACAAAGGATTAACATTGATTAGCTCGTTCCTAGCTTAATGTCAATTATGAACATTCAAACATGAAAGGACTTGCTGCTGCAATTGTATCGCCGTAGTTGGGAATTCCTCTCCCAGTGGCTGCTGCTCCCAGGAGAGTCTTGATTTCTTGCTTCCTTTCCCCACAATGTGTCCTTAGGGTTGTTTACAGCTTCTATATCACTCTCCATGACTAAACCCATTTCTCAAACTCCCAAGAGTACTTTTCCACTTGCTGCATCATGGCTGCACAAGCCATTAAATGGCAATCAATTTTTTTAAAATCTTAAATTTTGCTGCCATCTAATGGCTGTTAGAATGAACATGTGTCCAACTAACCTATCATTCAAGGATTTTTTTAAAAAAGGGACAACAGGGCAGCATACAATCCGTTCCACATGTGCATTAAGAATGTGCAGTAGGATAACATGGTTTAGAGTGAGATGATTTCCTGGCAGTTATACAATGGGGTGGGAGCATAAAGCTGTGTGGATGTGGCCACAGGCACATTTTCTGTAGAATAGAATGGTAACTGACAAGGGCAGATGGTCTACATTTATGAAATTCCTTTCTTTCTACCAAGCACACTTTGTTGAACAAAACAAATTACAGCCTAATGGACAAGACTACAAAATTGTTTGTGATGTGCCCATCCATCAGGCTCCCAGATTTGCTAAACAGGCATGAGAGAAAAATGAGAAGTCACCTATCAAAAAGGGGAATCCAACATAATGTATTTAAGGTGGGAGTAAAAAAGAATAACAGAAGCCAGGGAAAGATCTTAGATAAATATATCATATGAAGTAGGTCTGAATTCAATAACAAGCCTATTGATAAGACAGCATGATAAACCATGATTGGTTTCCTCCCTAAAACCACCAGCTGGCTTCATACAATAGCTTGCCTATAAATCAGTTAATAAACCACAATTGCTGGTTAACATGAAAGTTTATGGTAAAATCAAACATGTCACATTATGACTTAGTTTATAATGTGAACCAGATTATTTGTAGGTATGAAATTCTGCAACTGAAATCCTGCTGCAGGTTAGCCTCTTAATACTCGATAAAGGCAGAAAGCTTTTAAAAATACTATATTCTGATATTTTTTTAAAAAGTCTTTTTCTTCTTCATTGTATTCTTGATTTCTTGTTCTGTCTCATCATACTAAGTCTTTCTATCAGAAATACTTTACAAACTCTTGAGATTTTCCTTGAAGTAGCCCTTATCTGAGATGAAGAAAAAGTGCCTAGATATTTCATAGGGGGCACTTCTTTTTTTCTTTTTCCAGACTATAAAATTCTTCTTCTAATTGCAAAACAGGAAAACATCATCTGAGGAAAATATGCAGTAAGGGTGGAATGCCAAGTAATATTTCCCTATCTGCTAACCATTAAAAGACCACACCAAACAAATACAGTCATGGTTGGAATTCTGAAAACATCAGAGAAACATAATACTGCTAGGCTTTATTCTTGTCTTCAAAGAAATGCTTCAAAGAAAGGCATGCCTAAGACACAAATGAATTTTTTCCTTTCACTACATCCCACGTAACAACATAACAGACCAAATCCATTTAAAGCTAAATTCTCTGGCATAAATTCCTCAAGCTGACATAGCTTGAACTCAGCCTTCAAAGGAAAACATAGGAGGAGTCTTCTTCCTGTCTTGTGTCCATTAATCAGGCAAAGAATCCTTCTGAGATTTTCATTTAGCAGTATAAATAAAACCTGAAGGTACTCTCAGGACGCTCTGTGTGCATACATCATGGTAAGCAGAATTTGTTCAAACAAGGATGCTAAAACCTCTCTATTTTCAAACCACAATAGCTTAATGCATTGTGTAAATGCACTTCATATAAAAAGCTTTTATCCATTTATCAGCTCAAAAGTAAGTATGAGAAGTAAATAAGTACATGCAGCTAGATAAATGATTATTGGCTTTAATTCTGCAAATACAGTTAGAAATACAGTTAGATAGTAAGTAATGGAACTGCTTCTACAATTAAGCTTAAATATCATTACTCTTCTTATTTTAAAAGATACAGCTAAATGTTTCTGTGTGAATACATTTAGAGTTAGAAATAATAGAACTTATTTCTATCTCTGTTATTTTCCAACAGTAACCAAAAATATGGATTAGTAATATAGTTTTTAAGATACAATGGTAATATTACTTTTCATACGCTAAGCAGTGCAAAATTCATTGTTCTGGGAATGCTGTTTTCCAGAGAATAATGGAATGTTCATAGCAGGTCAAATCTCCTCTCAGACTACATCTTTCCATGGGAAGTTGAACAGTTTTCATAAACAGGTCCTACAAACCAGAAGCCAGGTGCTTAAATAGCACAGTGCAGAAGCAAGTTCAACATGCACTGGACAAAAATAGAATGTTCCTGGTTTTCATAACATTCTATTACAGGTATGTATTCCATTTTATAGTGGCATCATATTGTTTATGTAATTTGCAGAAATAAAATGTCAACTAAGGATCAAATTTAAGGATTTCCTGATTTTATATACCTTTTCCTATAATATACTCACATCAGACATTTATGTGTCAGGCTTGCAGCTATCAACAATTTGCTGCTGGCTATTAAGCAGATATATAAATGTAGATGAGTCTAAGCTTGGTACAATTATGCTAAAGTTTTATCAACATAATCTGTGAAGGTGGCAAAATTGATACATTTTGGGCTTTCAAGCTAAGCTGGGTCAATATCTGTATGGGAGTCATTCAGAAAATACTTTGCAGGAATAACTTCCCTCAAGAAAATTTAATAAATAAATAAATAAATAAAGAGATCCAGTTGGCACCTAACTTAATGTCATTCCAATTGGCCATAAAAATCAAACTTTTCTATTGGACCTTTGAAGTTTACTCACTGCTAAATTAATTGAATCTAATGTCTACCATTATTGTTTATTGCTTTACTTTTGTAATTTGATTGTATTTTGGCCTCATCCAGGGGTGAAATGCTCCTGGTTTGGACCGGATCGCCCGATCCAGTAGCGATGGAGGCGGGTGGTTCGGAGAACAGGTAGCAAAAATCCCTGCCCCTCCCCATTGCCCAGCTGAGCCACGCAATCATCAGAGGCTTTTTTTTAATTTTTAAAAGCATTTTTCTACAACCTCTTTGGCCAAAAAAATACTTTTAAAAGTAAAAAAAAAAAGCCTCTGATGATCGCGCAGCTCAGCTGGGATCATCAGAGGCTTTTAAAAGCATTTTTTCTACAACCTCTTTGGCCAAAAAGATGTTTTTAAAAGGAAAAAAAAAGCCTCTGCCGATCAGGCAAGTCAGCTGGGATCGTCAGAGGCTTTAAAAGCATTTTTTTTTCAGCTGAAGAGGTTGTAGAAAAAATGGTTTTAAAAATAATTTTTTAAAAAGTTGGCCACGCCCACTCAGTCATATTACCCCCTCCCAAGCCACGCCCACAGAACCGGTAGTAACAAATTTTACATTTCACCACTGGTCTCATCTATTTATAAACCACTGAGTTGTTCTGATTCAATGGTACACAAATATTGATCAAGTGCCATTAAATTGGTGTTGATTCTGTGACCACAGATTTTCTCCAGGAAGATCAGTCCACAGCCTAGTACTGTAGATTTCCCCACATTGTACCCTTCATTGCTATAATTCAGTCCATGCACTTCCTACTGATAGTTCTCTTTTCGTCTTTTCTTTCACCCTTCCCAGCATTACAGACTTCTCCAGAGAACTAGATCTTTTTGTAACATGTCTGAAATATTTGACCCTGGTAGTTTGTGCTGCAATTAAATTGTTCATTATCCATTTATTTGTTTTTTTGGCGATTCAAGGAATTCTTAGGAGTCTTCACCAACACTAAGTAGCAAAAGCATCAATATTCTTTTGACCCTACTTCTTCAACGTACAACCTTTGCTCCCTAGAGCAGTGTTGGCAAACCTTTTTGGCACCGAGTGCTGAAACGGGAGCACACTGGCGGGGAAGCACAGGAAACCAGAAGAGCAGCTCCCCAGAGCGCGTGCACAGAAAACCGGAAGAGCAGCTCCCCGGCATGCATGTGCGCGCCGGGAAGCTGAGCTTCTGGTTTCCGGTGTGTGCATGCATGCTGGCCACCTGGTTTTCCGGTTTCCGGTGCTCCCGTGCGTGAAGACCAGCTGGCCGGTGCGCATGTGTGTGCCCGAACCCAGAAAAGCAACAGGCTATGGCTGGCGTGCTCAGAGAGATGGCTCTGTGTGCCACTTCTGGCACGTGTGCCATAGGTTCACCATCATGGTCCTAGGATTTGTACATAGCACCATGGGAGTCTGACAACAGCCAATGGAATATATGTTCTTGCATGTTCAGGAAGTTCAAGTGCAAAGCCCAAGAGAAGATATAAATAACCCCCCTCTCATCTCCATGGGGTCAGCTACCCAGAATCACAGTGTTTGGTGGTTCTGCTTCATCAATAAATTTATTTATATTATTATTTTATTTTTATTTATTTTATTATTTTATTATTTTATTAATTTTATTTTATTATTTTATTTATTTTATTTTATTTTATTTTATTTTATTTTATTTTATTTATTTTATTTTATTTTATTTTATTTTATTATTTTATTTTATTATTTTATTTTATTTATTTTATTTATTTTATTTATTTTATTTTATTTTATTATTTTATTTTATTATTTTATTTTATTATTTTATTATTTTATTTATTTATTTTATTTTATTTTATTTTATTTTATTTTATTTTATTTATTTTATTTTATTTTATTTTATTTTATTTTATTTTATTTTAATTTTATTTTATTATTTTATTTTATTTTATTTATATACCGCCCTACTCCCGAAGGACTCAGGGCGTTGAACAGCCACAAGATAAAAATACATCATACAAAAGTTAAAAACCATTTAAAAGTACATTAAATAATTTTGGCCCAAAAACGAATTTAAAAACACCCAATTTGTATAAAACTTAAAAGCAAATTAAAAGGGAGAGTCAAGCCAGACCAGCCTGCTGGAATAAAAATGTTTTGAGGGCGCGGCAGAAAGTGCGTTAATCTGGGATCCTCCGTATCTCCAGGGGGAGCTCATCCAGATGGCAGGTGCCCCTACAGAGAAGGCTCTCCCCCTGGGGGCCACCAGTCGACACCGTTTGGCCGACGGCACCCTGAGGAGCCCCTCTCTATGGGAGCGTACTGGTCGGTGAGAGGCTACTGGTGGCAGAAGGCGGTCTCGTAAGTATCCTGATCCTAAGCCATGGAGCGCTCTAAAGGTGGTGACCAAAACCTTGAAGCAGACCCGGAAGACCACCAGGAGCCAGTGCAGCTCGCGCAGGAGGGGAGTCACATGGGAGCGCCACATCGCTCCCATAACCACCCGCGCGGCTGCATTCTGGACCAGCTAGAGCCTCCGGGTACTCCTCAAGGGGAGCCCCATGTAGAGAGCATTACAGTAGTCCAGGCGTGAGGTGACGAGGGCATGAGTGACCATACGTAACGAGTCCCGATCCAGAAAGGGACACAACTGGCGAATCATGCGAACCTGATAAAAAGTCCTCCTGGCCACAGCTGTCAAATGCTCTTCTAAAGACAGCCGTGAGTCCAGGAGGACACCCAAGTTGTGAGCCCTATCCGTGGGGGCCAACGACTCGCCCCCAATAGTCAGTGACGGCACCAACTGACTATATCGGGACGTCGGAAACCACAGCCACTGGGTCTTGGATGGGTTGAGTCTGAGTCTGTTTCTCCCCATCCAGATCCGCACGGCCTCCAGGCTCTTTCCAATCAGCCTCCAGCCTCCATTTTCTCTCCAGTTCCTTTCTCCCGCTTCAAACTTGAACCAGATGGATATTTCTTCCAACGGTATACTATAGTATAAAATATACTATTCTAGCTTAAGAAACAATTTGTATTAACACCTTTACAGGCCATGCAACTCCAATCTTCCAATTGCCATGCGTCAATCTGAGAGGCATAGATTTAATAAAATATTTAATAAAAAAATATTTCAACAGAAGCAAGCACTGGGTTTCTTAAATTAACTGAATATCTCAGTTATAATCTTTACTGCCTAATGTCACAAGAGATGACACATCCAACATTATAAAGCTGCAGAATATTGTCTGCATAATTCTTTCATTTTCTTCTAGAAAATCTAGGCGGTTTTTCTGCGTATCAATAGCAATATCCAAGTTTCGCTGACAACACAGCACCCATCAGATATCTAAACTAATTAATATATTCAAGAGGAATAAAATAAGATATAATTCTTGCTGTGGGTTTTAACCCCATTGATCATTGTTATGGCTTGGGGATTGCCCCCAGGGGTGAAATCCAGCAAGTTCTGACAGATCCTGGAGAACCGGTAGCAGAAATTTTGAGCAGTTCGGAGAAGCAGCAAATGCCACCTCTGGCTGACCTCAGAGTGGGTTGGGAATCAGAGGTGAGTTTCAGCAAGTTCTGACCAGTTCTGGAGAACGAGTAGCTGAAATTTTGAGTAGTAACTGGTAGTAAAAACCAGTAAAAATTCTGACTGGCCCCACCCCCATCTATTCTCTGCCTCCTGAGTCCCAGCTGATTGGAAGGAAATGGGGATTTTGCAGTAACTTTCCCCTGGAGTGGGGAGAGAATGGAGATTTTACAGTATCCTTCCCCTGCCACGCCCACCAAGCCATGCCATGTCCACCAAGCCACACCCACAGAACCAGTAGTAAAAAATGTTGAAACCCACCACTGGTGGGAATGGAGATTTTGCAGTATCCTTCCCCCAGGAGTGTAGGGAATGGGGATTTTGCAGTATCCTTTCCCTGCCACACCCACCAAGCCACACCACGCCCACCAAGCCACGCCCACAGAACCAGTAGTAAAAAAAATTGGATTTTTTCACCAATGATTGCCCCTCTCCCAAATTAACTCACAGGAAGAAATCCAGATATTGAACAGGCGACAAGACGGTTCACCTTCTGGGCAACAAGGCGACAAAAGGGCTTTACCAATGTAACGCTTTCATACAAGGCTGCCTGAGGGGAAAAAAATAAATCTGGCCTAGCCTTTTTTTTTTTAACGCCTCTCTCCTTTTGCTGACAAAAGATGCCGTTTTAGGATGGGATGGAAAGGAAGAGGCGGACGATCTCACACTGCAGGGCGTTTGAGGGCCGCCTCGTGCGATCCCGCCCGAATCTTTTATCTGGGCAACCAATGCCGGGCTGGTGAAACGGGTGTGTGTGTGTGAGTGTGAGTGTGTGTGTGAGTGAGTGAGAGTGAGTGAGTGTGTGTGTGTGTGTGTGTATCTTGTGCACCGAATACCTGCTCAAGCTTCGGCCCGCAGAGATGCCCAAGGACAGCATCGAGCGAGGAAGGAGGAGAACGGGGCAAACCGCGTCCCGACCGGCCGACCCGAGCCTTCGCAATCGCCGCTCGCCGCCGCCTTCCCCTCACCACAAGCGAAGGCAACGGCTCTCCCACCAACCCACCCACCACCACGTGCCGTTCAGAGCTCGGCCGGCGACTCGGGGACAGCGCCGGAGTCACTTCCGCCCATCTGAGCTCGGCGTCGCGCGCCCTCTACAGACGCCCGCGCGCGCCCCCCACCCACCCCCCCCCCCGCCCCCCCCCCCCCCCCCCCCCCAACCTCCCTCCTCCCTCCCTCCCTCCCTCCCTCCTTCCGGAGGACGCCACGGGAGCCAGCCAACCAGCCAGCGGCGGGGAGAAGTTTGCTGCGCCTGGAGTCGTCGGAGGGAAGCAAGCAAGCAAGCAGCCCGGCCGTCTGTCTGTCTGTCTGACCGCCAGCCATTTACCATCACACCCCACACCACCACCCGTCCAATTCCTGCCGGCACGGTAAGAAATTTCCCTGGGCGCGGGGAGGGATGCTTTGCTGTCCGCTGCCTGCGGCAGAAGAGGAGCCGTAGCCGCCTCCGCCGCCTTTACCTTTAAACGCTGAGTGGGACCCGCATCTGGCTCCCCGGTTTGTTTTGTGCGTCCTCGAGAGGCGCCTCGGGTGACTTGGCCACGATCAAGGCAAGGCACCTGGCTTGCCTGGTTCCCGCACCCACCCGCCCGTTATCTTTCCCTCTCCAGCATCCTTAAGCGGGGGGGGGACTGAAGGATTGGAGCCCGCGGCTGGTGGCGTCTTTAGGATTCAAGGGATGGGATGGGAAAGATGGACGAGCGGAGCCTTTTATTTTTCGAGGGCTTGCCTGGCAGGTGTTCCCCGCGTAAAAAAAAAAATAAAAAATAAAAAACTGCGATCGCTCTCATTTTACGTGCTCAGACCGTTAAAGATGCCCATCTTGCCTGCTGATTGCTTAGTGTGGGTCCCAAGGTGTGACATTTCAAAGATCGGATCGCCCAGTTATATAATCCCATCGAGCATATCGCTCCGGGGTTGAATCGCACCGCATCTTCGGATGGGTTGTACCACCATTCGGACAAAACATGCTTCTTGAATGGCATTAGGTGGCCACAAGCTTTCTGCCTCCAGTGGAAGCCAGGCCCCTGTTAAAGAAAAAAAATATATGTTTATATGGCAACACATGCATTTCCATTCTTGCAAATCTCCAATCACTGCTTCACCATTCTCAAAAACAAAAACCTTGGTAGTTTTTGCAGCAATACTTTCAAAATGTGTAAAGCTTATTTTTCAGGATAAAATGTGTGTGTGTGTGGGGGGGGGGAAATGTTATAAGAAAATGGAGAACCTTGGAAGTTGGGCGAAAATACTTTATTGAAGTTATATAATTCTAATAGGTACAGGAGATGTTGGATGTAAATGAAGCTCTGACTCAGCATGTGCCACTAATCACAAGTTTGCATTGAGGTCACAATGTTCTAGATTTCATTATAAAATGAAGGTTTATGAAAAGTTGGGCTGCTTATAAGTGAAGTGCAAAGTAAGACAATTTCATGGGTGCCCACAAAGGGTTAGTAAGTAATAGCACCATGACTTCATTGTGGAAATGATGTGAGTTTATAATTTGTGTCATTTTTGTGAGTATATATGTGATGTCATCTTGTCTTCTTTGGGATATCTTCAGAATTTTTTGTTTTTGTTTTTCTAAATGCATTGTTTAAATTAAACCACATAATTCAGTTTAAATGACACTGAAGGCAATTCTGAATTTGCAATCAAAATTACAAAGAATAAGGAGACAGAAACCTATTTGGAGAAGCCTGATTCACCCTTTGTAATAGAAAATGCTTTTGGTTTGGTAGGTAGGGCTAACAAGGGCATGGTTTTAGTTTTAAAGGTTATTAAACATTTAGATTGTACAGCTTCTAGTGCACAAATATCTATTGTAAGTGCTTTATTGTATGCCATACAGCAAAATACTTAGCATTTGACATCACAAAACAAAATGCTAAATGGTTCTTAGCTATGTATTTACTGGTATGGCTTTCTGTATAATGTGCAAATGGAAATAGTTACTAACTTTATTTATTGATATCTTGCCTTTATCATTTTTATAAATAACTTAAGGCAGCTAATATATACAATACTTCTCCCTCCTCCTTATTTTCCCTACCAAAACAACCCCATCAGGTGAATTGGGCTGAAAGTGACTGACTGGCTGAAAGTCACCCAGCCAGCTTTCATGCCTAAAGCGGGACTAGAACTCAGTTTCCTGGCTTCTAGCCTGGTACTGTCACCATATGTGTGATTTCCTAGTTATTTCTAGTTTTTCTTCATGCCTTTTCCAAACCTCTAATCAATTTATAGAAGTGTAAATTTAAAAGGAGGGAACACAAACGTGAATTTGGTCAAGAAGCTACATAAAATGTTCTTCCAGCAAGATTACTGCACTCTGATTGACACTGTCAGTTGTGGTTGGTTTGTGGATTATTCCATAAATCACATTTGCTAGACTCATGCAATATGATGTGTTGTATTGGTTCTGTGTCTGAATTCATGGAACAATTGCCACTGAGTTATTGTTCAACAAGTCATTGTGTATATAAAATATATATAAATATTAGAGATAGTAGAGAACCCAAGCAGAAGCAAAAAAAACTTTTTGATGTTTATGTTTATTTTGTAATTTTTCTAGTCAGAAGTGTATCTGTTGAGTTTAGTAGGGTTTACTTTCAAGTAAGCATCTTTAGGATTGCAGCCTTAAATTTCCTAGATTATTGGGCCAAAAATGTCAGAGAAAATGGATTTGGAAGGAAACAAGACAATGTATTCAGGAAGATAATTGCAGGCACAAGGAACAAGCAAGAGAAAAGACAGGGAGGGGAGAGGAAGGATGGTGATATTTGAGGGAACTGAAAACTTTGTATGATTGCCAATGGTAGAACTGGAGATATGCAAGTATACATGCTGGGTAGAGAAAAATAAGAGGCAGGATTTGTGATACAAGTAAAGTTAAAGAGTTTATTCTGGATTGATATTATCCACACATTGTATGTTTGAAACTGGCAGGTTTCCTGTTGTAGATTTAATTCCTTTTTTCCTCTCTGCCCATTGCCAGTAGCAATGAACCTGAAGCCTGACTAGAATGTAAAGATGAGCTGGATTAATGTGGCAGAGAAGTTGCATTGTGAACCAGTAGCTAAACTCTGAGAAAAAAAACTTTTGAAAAGAAACCCTGTCCATTTTAGATTAAGACATCTAATTGCGTTCTAAGTGTGGCAGAGATAAAGAAATCATGAATTGGTTCTATATTTTAGAATAAGGGAAGGAAATTGGGAAAGGAGAAGGAATCAGATTCAGAAACAAGTGGGTGGCACAAAGAAAACACTACCCATTGCACTGCAAAATAAAACAAAGACAGTACAACCAGCAGAGCACTCAAACTACCCCTTTCTCTGCCGTTCTGCGTTACAGTGCACCATTCATGTGTACAGGTTTTATTATGATTCATTGGAAGGAGCCACTTAGGTCTGCCTCAACATAAGATGGATCCAGATATATTTAATTCTGAATTATTGGCAGTAAATTGCTTACAGCTAATGTTATGATAATTGCGTTCTCCAAATTATGTGATTGGCAGGAAAAAAGCTTAGAAGAAGAGTGGATTTGAGGGTAGAAAAACTGTTAAGTACTAGTACTGAAAATACATTTTTAGTGCTTAAATTCTTTGAGATCTGACACTTTTCATCTCATGTATATGCATTTTACAACAGGTAATAATGCTTGATGAATTTGAGGATTCTAGAAAAAAGCAAAGCAAATCATGCATGCCCCAAGTGTGCCCAACCCTGGCCTGTGTAATGATGTATACTCAGAAATTCAAACAGACAAGTTTAGTGCTCTAAAAGAAACTAGGATCAGGAGTGAATCAGAAAAAAATAATCCAGGACATATATTAATCCATTAATTGACTTGTAAAAGTAAAAAAAATCACCCTTCAAACTTTTGTACTACATTAGAAATTGAAATTGATAGATAGTGGTGAAATATAAGCAGGAAATTAGCATTCTTTAAAGGATAACTGACAACCATGATATTTTTAAACCAACAGAGAAGAAGAAAGGATATGGTAGAATGAAGAAATAAGGTTATGAAATAACATTAAATTTTTTAATTAAAAGAATATTTAATATTATCAAAGAGTGATGCAGATTAGTGTAAAGGCTGAAGCTGATGAGTAAAACAGGAATTTTCTTTTCTTCTTAAAACATTGGGACCTCAAAACATTGGAGAAACAGTGAGGCTGGTAGGAAATTTAAAATAGAGAAAAGGAAGCAATTCTTCATACAGTGTGTAATTTGCCTGTGGAATTCATTACCATTGTGTGGCATGATTGCTACCAATCTGAACAGTTTTCACTCTGTCAAGGACCTTGTAGTACTCATTTCTAAAGATCTAAGTGCCCAAACCCACTGTAACAACATTGCCAAAAAGGCATTAAGAGTTGTCAACCTAATCTTGCATAGCTTCTTCTCTGGTAATGTTGTACTACTAACTAGAGCATACAAACATTTCCTGGACCAATTCTTGAATACAGCTCATCTGTCTGGAACCCGCACTGCATATCGTACATAAATACAATCGAGAGAGTCCAGAGGTATTTTACGAGAAGAGTCCTCCATTCCTCTAACTGCAATAAAATACCTTATGCCACCAGACTCCAAATTTTGGTCTTAGACAATTTAGAACTATGACGACTTCAATCTGACCTAAGCATAGTACATAAAATTATCTGTCACAATGTCCTTCCTGTCAACGACTACTTCAGCTTCAACCACAACAATACACGAGCAAATAATAGATACAAACTCAAGGTAAACCATTCCAAACTCGATTGCAGAAAATATGACTTCAGTAACAGAGTGGTCAATGCCTGGAATGCACTACCTAACTCTGTAGTTTCTTCCCCAAACCCCCAAAACTTTAACCTTAAACTGTCTACTGTTGACCTCATCCTATTCCTAAGAGGTCTGTAAGGGGTGTGCATAAGTGGACCAGCGTGCCTACCATCCCTGTCCTAATATTCCTTTTTACTTACTCTTTTCATGTATTCAAATTATGTTTATACTTTTACCTGT